AACAGGACATGCTTGACAGGCTCTAACTGGAAGCCAGTAAAGTTGTTGGAGGATGGGAGAGATATGGACAGATTTCCTGGTGTGGGTACGTATTTAAGCAGCAGAGTTCTGGATATATTGCAGTTTCCTCAGAGATTCGAGGCAGAAACCTGAAGATAGTGAATTGAATAAATGTGATGTGAACCTATGGAAATGTGAACCAGTGTTTCTGCATCTGATAAGTAGGTAATATGTGACTGAAAAGAAAATGTACAGTCAAAGATAATTTCAAGGTTTCTAACAGTATTGGAAGGAGCTAATATTATGCCATCCAAGTCAGTAAAGAGGTCACTAGCCTTGGCCAGAGTCTGGACCTGGTCTTGTTGTAGTTGAACCTTTTTGTTTGATGACATTCAGTGTTTAATATCCTGTAAACAGCTAAATAAACACCTGTAAACAGTGTTCCCCTAGGACTTTTTTCAACAGCGGTGACAGACCCCCAACCCCACCCCCACTCCATCTCTCCACCCTTCAGCTTCTTTGCGTTACTGTCCAGACCCTAAAAACAGGTGGAGATCGGTCTTACCTGTGTCATTCAACATTTTCTTGCTGTAAAGTTGTAAACAAACAAGATATACTGTCCTTAATAGTAGCTCACCCTTGTTGGCTAGCTTGCTAGCATTAACACATTACAACAAACAAGTAGCCATGTTTGCACAGAACAAAACAGATAAACCGTTCATTATGACCCACTTTATTCATATTTCAGACCACCACTGTCCACAGAAGTCCACAAAATATAAAACTGAACTTAATTACATTCCAAAATAAAGTCAACCCAACCCCCTCATGAAGTGCTAAAATCGCCTGAAAAGTCCTCCCCACTGACAACCGTTTCATTAAGCACTTCAGCTCAACTCGCTTCTGACTGTTCGCGTGATGTCCGTTCACTTGCTTTCAAATTAAAAGCCCTTTGCAGAGTTTTGTAATTGCAACTTCATGACACTTCATAAAATTCTGCAATAATATGAATGTATAAAAATATATAGTGGAAACACTTGTATGTATGCCTAATATAGGCCTAATTTCACTCTTTTGGAAGTCCATGTTTTAGAGTTGAATTTCCTGCAGTGCCCTCCCATGGTCAAATATGTTAAGCTTAAATGTCTTTGAAAGAAACTTTCTGCCTTCTTGGAAAACTAACCATTTCCTTTGCTTTGAAACTCATAAGTTGTGGATTCATTTCATTTCAAACTCTCAAAATTTTATTTGGTGCTTTTTGAAAATGCAATAATATGCAAAAAACTCATGGAAGTTTTCTTTTGCACTATTGAACGTGCAGCTGCAATTAAACAGCAAAAAAACAGCTGAAAAACACTGCCTCAACGCTAAAATAATATTATTGGTTAGGATTGTTGACGTTGCTAACTATAAAATCGACAAATCAGCCAAGCTTTGGGAGTTAGTGGACACTGTCTTGAGAAAGTGGCAGAAAGAAAGACTGCACAAGAACAATTTGAAGTGCCCCCTTGTTAGTAAACAGACTGATGTGTCAGTTAGTATTCCTGCAATGCTTGAAGATTAGGGAGATAATGATCTTTTCCTAAAAAGGTAGCAGACCTTCCTGTCACTGCTCATTACAGTCTGTTCTTTAAATTTCAGTCATGCTTTGCCGTCCTGCTTCAACTTAATGTCATGCTTCGAATGTCACAAATTTAGCCTAACTAAATAAGTTATAATGAGAATGAGCTTTGCAGATGTGATGTAGCACATTCTTGATTGATGTACCAAAATGGCAAATTTGCATTTCAAATCTTTGCACAAATAGCCAGGCAGGCCAGCTAATGGCTGTGCACAAACACGCAGAGCAACAACCCTCACAACAAACACTGAAGCATGGTATGAATACTTATAAAGCAATATCCATGTTGTCATAGCTCCTGCACTGTTTACTGAAGAGGCAATTATAGGAGTTTATATAACCTGGAGCCACTGGTGGATTTTTAAGGAGCATTTTTTGAAGTGGTGTGAGAAAGGATGGCTCATAAACATAAGTAAAACCATGTTATGAGTAGAGCACCACACACAGAAACTGCAGATGACATCCAATATATAATGAATTACGATGATCTTGGTTTGTAACATCATGCATAATGATGCTCTCGTCAGGTGTGGCTTTTCAAAATATGCAATCTCATCATTTTTGGTATTTATTTTGTAAAGCAGTGGATATGTCCTTTCCCTGCATATATCATTATTATAATTCCTCTCACAGCTGCTCTTTTAAACTCTCTCTCCTAAAATTGAGCTTTATCTGCAACAGGGGCTGCATATTTATACAGGGACCAGAGTACAGCCGAGACTGGCAGGCTACAGTTTTTAGATCACATGGAGAATGGTTTTCTGAAAGGCTGTTTGATGTTCGCTAAGGATATTTGAGCCTGTGAAGAGCCTTGTTTTTTCTCCTTTGCAAAGAATCTGCTAGCTATTTACTGTTCTCGAGACTGGGGCTTTTTTGTGGCTTGCTTTATTTAATGTGTTTGTCTTTCAGCATCCGAAACACCCCCATGGTCTTTTGACAGGGGCATGGATGGAGGTCATTGGGGCGACTGTGCCAGGAAATATGTGGCTTGATCAAATATTCCTTAGATGATAATGTTTTTATGTGTTTCCTGTACTGGTCCCACCCCTACTCACCCAGAGTCCTACCCCAAACATGCCACCTGCTGTGAAGGCCCCATTTGGGACGCTGCACGCCATCAGCAGATGTTGGGGCAGCGCTGAAAGCTATATTGCCTTAGGCCATTTTTGAGTCATTTGTGCTGCTTGCCTTTTTTATAAAGAAACGGAGGAAAGCAGAGGTGGAGTGATGAGAATGGTTAAAGAGAGTAGTAGTCTTAGCTACAGTTGTGAGGTTGGATAAGTTAATGAGGAATTTCAGTGTGAGTGCATTATTAATTTCAAATGTTAGTTACTTTATATGTGTTTGGCAGTGTTAGGATAGATCAGGGTATCACTTTAGCTCATCTTGGCAAATTGTATGTTGTTGTGCTTTCAAATCTGCCTTCTTTAGCATCAAAGCAGTTAAGTTCTTGCTTTTTCCACTGTTACTATTATACCAGTGAAACCCAAGAATTGTTTTTTTACAATGTAATCTGCCAGGTTGAAATGTAGAACCCTGCTCATCATTTTGTAATGAGTCTTACAAACATTGTTAAAATCTAATTTGAACAATTTACATGTTTTGACAAAACTGAGTTAGAATTTGTCATTAGGTCCAGTGTTGGTTTTGCCTAGCGTTCAGTCGAACTTTGCAATGAGCACATTTGTAGGCAGAGTGTGAACAAGTCATTTATGTCTTTGCGGTAAGTGCAGAACTAATAGTACATGAGAAAAGCAGACAAACCTCTTGTGCTTCTTGCTCTTTTGCCCACAGTCCATCTGAATGATTCCAGAGAAATGCTATATCAATTATAGACTTGCAGCATACCCCCACATAACTATCACAGCTGAGCCTCTACAACCTCAGCATCCACCTCAGTCAGAGGGCAAAAAGCTTGCCATTTGTTCTCTGAAATCCTGTTGTCGTATGACTAAGAGGGGGTGGCTGAAGTGCTGCAATGTCTACGGCTAGACGCTAAGAAAACAAGGTTCTGGAGAGGGGCTTGACACAGCCAGGCGGCAGTCAGCCCTCAGTGTGCCTCGTCTGGGCATAATTTAGGAATCTGTGTGATAATACCCTCGTTCTTTCACACTTGAGCCTCAGCAAATAACTGCTGGGAGCCACTTGGAGCACCACACAAATAGCACATCTGCTGCCGGAGTTATGTATTTACACTGTCTCAGCTGACTTACCAGGGTCCACAGTGGAGCAGTGTCTGCCACGAATGGCCATTTTTTCCAGGCCAGGAAAGACATGCAAGTGGCGATTTATAGGTCCAGCAAGGGGATATGCAGCACTTCAAGAATAACAAACCCCACAGGCTCTGTACAGATACAAGGAGGACCTAACTGAGACCAGCATAGCTCTCTAGTGCTGGCTACTGCCTGGCCAATTATACCTTAACTTATTTCGAGGAGGCTTCTCTCAGATGTGGACCCTTGTCTTAATAGGTCCCGATGTCAAGCGCACATCTGCAGGCGACAGATCCAAGAGAGGGAACAGGGAAGCTGACAGGGTAGATTAGACTGCAGACTTGACATAGGAATACAGCGTCAGTGCAACTCAGCCCTTCTCATGAGCTGAGCTTATTCAAGCATGCAAGCTTAAACTACTGGAGAGGCCTGTTAAGAATCTTCCCAGTGGTGCCATTTTAGTGGATATGTCAAAAAGTAAAAGCTGAACATGAGGCACTGAGCCTTGTGCAAACTGGCTTACTGTTGTGAAGCCTGTCGAGTTGTTACGATGACAATATGAGAACAGATACATTTTATTCAAATAAAATGCCTCTGACTGGATGCAATGTAAACAGAAATCTAACTAACCTAACCTAATTAAAAAAGCACAGTTCACTATTGTGTAGAATAAAATGCCTGTTGCCCTTTACGTTTTGTGTACATTTCATTAAGAATGGACCAAAAGAAACGACCCAAAATGACTTGGGAAAATGTCTGGTTCCATTGACTTATATTAAAAATTTTCTTCCTGTTCCTGTAAAGTTATCATTTTGGAGACAAGGTTTTCTTTCGACAACAGCGATATATATATATATATATATATATATATATATATATATATATATATATATATGTATACATATACTGGCCTCGTAGCTCCAGTGCAAAACTAAATAAGCAAACCACAGCCACCAAACATATCTTGGCCGATCAGTTACGTCTAGGGTAAGGGGAAAATTGTGTAAATTTGATTTTTGTACATCGCATTAAGGGTCTGTGTTAGCTTAACGGTGGAATACATCACCTCCACTACCTGTAACCTCATAGTAACATCATAACAACATCAAAGAGGGAAATAATTAGCACTGAGTGCATTACCCGACTTTTCATGTTGCTCTTTTCAGGAGCTGACAGGCCTCTATTTTACTGGGCGTGGCTACAAAAGGAGGATGAGGATTCTATTGTTTCTGCTAGCTTTCAGCTCACTGGCTCCGAGGTACACTACGGGTAAGTAGACCTCCGCCTGTCCTCTTCTCTTCTGTCAGCTCAGCTCCATGGAGGTCCCATTAGAGAGTTCTTTCTGCAGGCTTGCCTAGCCCCTCTTCAAACCATCCCCTCGCTCTTCCTTCCAATACATACTTGTTCATATTTGGTGCTCCCCTACCCCCCAAGCCCCCTGTGGAAACATCAGACAAATGTAGGATGTCAAGTTGATGACAGGAAATGTGTCTGGCATATTTTAAGAGTGGGCCACTGTAGAGAGGGGCTACAACCTAGATTAATTATTGATCATGTTATTTTAGGTCAGTGAGTGGAAATGATCTGATTTTCTTGAGAGGTGTTTTTGTGTGTTCTTTTCTCAGGATTGAAATGATTCAGACACCATTAAAGGTTAATGAAAATGGAAAGTCGGCCTTAGTACAGTCAAACTCACCACCCCAGGAGTAGGGAACCTGAACCAGTAGGCACGCAAACATAGCTTTGCTAATTTTAACTTAAGAGTGGGCCATATGGAAAATCACAATACTTAGACATTTTCACGATGCATGATATGCATCAGGATATTTCATATTTTTGAGGTTTGGGAACAAGTTGGAATGGACAAAATTATTTTTAAAAAATAAATGAATAGACTAAAACTTTCCATCAGCAACTTGTTACTGTGCAGTTTTACTATACTATGTGGACCATTATGCTGAATAGGTTTGAATTTAGAGTTCAGAAGCCTTTTTGGACTTTTAACTGTGTTGGACTTTAGAATATAATCCTTTTTCTTTGAGTGTCTCTGTGACTTACTTATGTTTATTTTATTAAATCAAAAGTTTGATTGTTCCATTTTCTCACCAACAAACCAATCATAACACTCTGGAAACTACCAAATATTTCGATAGAGGCAATTTTAGTTAGTTTTGAGCAGAAGTCAAAAACACTAGCTAGTATATAACTAGAAAACACAGCGAAGAACAGTTGTACATGCATAAAATCATTATATTTTTCATTAAAACACAAAAAAGTTTACTTAATTGCAGAAAAAAGTTTCGGTAATGACAATTCTTAGTTTTACACACTGATTTTCAGACTTTTTAACACATTTTCTTCACAACAATGGGATGTAACTGCTCACCATGTGGCCATGAGGGACAGGGATGCAGTCTCACTTCCTGCTCTAAAATACAGGGGTGTGGCTAAGATAAAGCTCCGCCCATATACTAAAGCTCTTTGTGTTATGGTAGTGACATGAAAACGTGGGACAGTGTTTTTATTTAAAAACCATAGTAAATCTAAATCTTTCAGTTTTACTTTAAAAAAATCAAAAAGATCTTTAAATGAAAATGAAAAAAATAGAAAAAAAATTATGTATTATTTTCACAAGTTGAAATTTAGGGTTTAGGGTTTGGGACAGTCATCTCCAAAAGAAGGTACACTATAAATTATGATTTTGTAAATATTTACCTTATTACTATATCAAATAACGCTTTGGGTTTATATAGGTCATAACAAAATCCATATAAATATAGTTTTAATTTAATATAGTATTAAACATTTTTTTACTAATTTGCTAGCATGGTCTGTATCCTGCTTGTTGTTTACAGGCTCTAAATCTGTCTTTTAGTGTTGCATGCAAGTGTTTAATGTTCTAAAAGTACTGATGATAACCATGATATACTCTGAAAAGCATATTGTGTAGTGATTTATCAGGATAATCATAGCATATCCTCATATCGCCAACCCTTGTTATTAGAGGTGGGAATTACTACAAGCCCCACAATATGATATTGTCACAATACATGAACCACAATATGGTTCTGTTGTGCTATTTAAAGATCTGTGATATGCTAAGTATTGCAGTATGACGTGTTGATATAGTGACTTTTGACTGAAAAGTAGCTCTCCAAAAGAAAAATATTTTATCCAATGAAATTTACACTTTGTTTCTCTCACCTTAGTAGTTGGAATAATATTGTGAAGTAGGCAAATCATGATTGAAACCTGTTTTATCTTCTTTATCTTCTAAGAAATGTTCTACATTACAGAGCAGTTTACAATGGCAGTGGTTGCCAGTGACTCTTACTGGCACTCTTACTGGAACTGGTCATGTTCCTGATTCCTGCCTGTTCTCCTGTGGGAGGGGCGATAGTGTTATCCATTACTGTATTCAACCATTCCCAACAACTCCACTGACAGAAACCTTTGGTCTCACTAGAAAGAAATGGTGCCATTTTCTGGATTAAGACATGCATCCATTTTGCTAATCTATAAATCTAACAAGATGATTAAAACGTTAAAATATTAAAATTAAACAAAATAATATTTGGTCCTCCATGTATATAAATGTGGAAGCCGCTGGCTACCTATTATAAGTGTAGAGGCTTTTGGCTGTGTTTTGCAAAAATCAGCAAAGTGCTGATATTTGGCGAAGGTTAGACAAAAGTCCAAAGTCATTATTATCAAACCAAGTTAGCAGACCAAAGGCTACTTTAATTACAAATGACTTCATCAAGGCTTTTCAATAAACCAAGAAAGATGCTGCAAATGAATCAGCTAGCAGTACCACTGATGAGTCATTGTCTCTCACCCTGCTTCCTCTATTGCATCTGTAATGCCCATTAGTGGAGTCTAAGCACAGAGCACAGTTAATGCTGCCTCAGCTGGGAGCTGAAGGAGTGGGGCTGCATCTCCTGTGGAAGGTGTGTGAAAAGATTTCATGCTGGAATTCCATTACTGGCAGCAGTAAACACTGAGCTGAGCCAGAGTGTTATCCCCGAGCAGAAAGCTCCACGCGGAACAGGCTGATTAGGAACACTCCCCTCCCTTCTCCTCCCCTTCACTCCACCCTTAGCTTCTTCTCTATGTCTCACTCTGTCCCAGATTCCATTGGGCCCTTTTGCGAGTAGCTGCAGACGTAACACCCTTGCACACACATCAGAACACACACATTTACATGCCTGCTCACTCATGCATGCAAGTACGCCTGGTTCTGAATTGCAAATACATTAAACAAGGTCTACGCCCTTGTACACTTAGATCCTTACCTTGCTTCTCATATACCTGCACAGATAAAATCACTTACATGTACTTCAGGGGTGCATGATATATTATTTGTTGATCGTTGCCATGAAATTGGCCTTTGCAGTACTAATATTGCAGAAGATGCAACATGCAAATGAGCCCTGTAATCACAGTGAGTGCAATCGAAATGGCATACTACTATACTATGTACTGCATACTGCACTAATGTGCACTGTATATTGCATGCTACTCATGAATGTCTTTTACATGCTTCAGATGTCCATACTTAAACAGAACTGGCCTAAGTAGTATTAAAGCGTTTTTACCCATAGAGAATATTAGCTTTATTGTAGTGGTAACTGTTGTATAGTAATATATATGGCCATGAAAAGTTTATGAAATGACTCAAAAATGTCTCAAAAAATGTCTCAAAGCTGCATTAAAAATTTCACAAACTGCCTAATTAAAATAGAACTTACTGAATAAAAATAATTAAAAATAATTAAACTGAATTTGCTGATACTTCCAGATACCCTGATAATACATATTTTTAATTGTCCTGTTGGCCTCTCTTAAAATAAGAAACAGCCTGATGCACACACATTTATGTATATATACACCAATCAGGCATAACATTATGACCACCTCCTTGTTTCTATGCTCAATGTCCGTTTTATCAGCTCCACTTACTATATAGGTGCACTTTGTAGTTCTTCAGTTACACACTGTAGTCCATCTGTTTCTCTGCATACTTTGTTAGTCCCCTTTTACCCTGTTCTTCAGTGGTCAGGGCCCCCATGGACCCTCACAGAGCAGGTACTATTTGGGTGGTGGATCATTCTCAGCACTGCAGTAACACTGATATGGTGGTGGTGTGTTAGTGTGTGTTGTCCTGGTCTGAGTGGATCAGACACAGCAGTGCTGCTGGAATTTTTAAACACCTCAGTGTCACTGCTGGACTGAGAATAGTCCACAAACCAAATATATCCAGCCAACAGCGTCCTGTGGGCAGCGTCCTGTGACCACTGATGAAGGACTAGAGGATGACCAACACAAACTGTGCAGCAGCAGAAAAGCTATCATCTCTGACTTTACATCGACAAGGTGGACTGACAAGGTAGTAGTGTCTAATAGAGTGGACAGTGAGTGGACACAGTGTTTAAAAACTCCAGCAGCACTGCTGTGTCTGATCCACTCGTACCAGCACAACACACACTAACACACCACCACCACGTCAGTGTTACTGAGTGCTGAGAATGATGCACCACCCAAATAGTACCTGCACCTATACAGTAAGTGGAGCTGACAAAATGGACAATGTGCGTAGAAACAAGGACATAATGTTATGCCTGATCGGTATATATATATATATATATATATATTATATTACCACATTGTGTTATTCTTATGTGAAGTAGCTTTAAAGGCTCTTATTTCTTATTTCTCTTATTTCTCTTTCTCAATAAAGTATTTAAGTGGATTTTTTGAAATACTGCATATTATATCATCATTATTGCCATTTTAACTCAATTGATTACTTAATTTGTCATTAAAATTATTTTATTGCTAGATTACTCAAATATTCACATAAATGATAGTGACATAAATTGAATTGACAAGGTGAATTTTAAAAATGTCAATTATTTGGTGATTTATGAATTAACCAGTGCATTTTTAATATATTGCAATGCAATCCCGTTACAACGTTTGTTCATATTGTGCAGCCTTACATATATATGTTGAAAAATGTATTAAAAAAACAATATGTATACATTCAAGCCACTGTAAATCAAAGACTTGTAAATGGACAGACACACTGGCACATACATTTTACCCTCACATTCAGTCCCTTTTACACTATAATCTTAGTTTCTGACCCAATTCACAATACAATGGAAGTATTTGCAGGTACCTAGAGAATATACTCTGTGTGTGTACATCCCTCTGGTTCTCCTATGCTTGTCACAGTGCTTGAGTGAATGCAATTATATCTGACAGCATGTATCCCCTGCTGAGTTTGCCCAGGAGGAATATTTTCCCATCCTCCACATTCTTTCTGCGGATTCACTGCGTCTGGGTTTAGGACAGCCCTTCTGTTTCAGTCCCTCTTGGCATCCACCTGCTGTAATACAGTAATTAGATTCCATCAGACAAGTCAGTGGCACAGAGGCAAATAGATTATTTCATTTGTAAATATGTTTCTGTATAATCATGTCTTTGCATGTAGCCTAGCTGGCTTTCAATGTGTTTCTCTTGTTTATGTCCTGATGCATTAGTTCTACTCCTATTACAAAGCTAAATTACCAGTGTTAAATTATGCCTGTGGTTTTGAGATTAGTGTAGCCACAGCACAAAGCATGCAGTGGGGACCAGTTAGATACCGCAGAGGTTCATTCTCCACCAGTGATTTTGCTGTGTAGTGCAGAGAGAATGGTCATTATTGCAGAAAAGCGTTGCCAGTTTTTTGACACCTGCAATGACATGATCTCTAAATAAAGGGAATATTCTGTTAGCGGTAAATGAAGCCACCTAAGTGGACTGGAGGTCTACAAGGAGTGAAATGGGTCACTCATGCTTTGCATATATGTGTGTGTGTGCACTAGGTGGGGAGGTGTGTGTGTCAGGTCATGACAGCGGGCCAGTGTTTGAAGAGCAGCCATCCAGTCTGATTTACCCTGAGGGTCTGCCTGAGGGAAAAGTGACCCTGAATTGCCAGGCCAGAGCCAGCCCTGCAGCATCCTACAGGTAACATACTCTCTGAGAGAGCTTTCATTTACCACCTAGCAGCACCTAATCTCCTGAACAACAGACTGCATCGAAATGTAGACACATATACTCTTCACACCATCCAATTAAGTACAATGCCCAATAGAAGATAGAGGAAGCATAGCTTTTTAAAATGTTTTTAATAAATAAGTAGTGCTGGCCCAAACAGCAGTTTACAGCTTTGAATACGTGTTGGTATTTCCAAAAGAGTACCTGAATACTTGTTCTCAAAATCATCTTTAGAAACAAAGATATTTACTTTTCATGACTGACCATACTTTTAAGTATGTTCTTACAGCAATTTAATATGTAGTAAAAGGCAACAACATCTTAATATTCAGACTGAAGCCAAGCTGATCATGCACCGTATGTTGCTATAGAAGCCACAATTTTAACAGCTTTATGATTGTAACAGCTTTTATGAGTCATGTAGACACTAAGGATGTAATGAATTAGAATTATTATTTTACTTTTCTTCATCACAGTTTAAGTTTGTTTTAGTAAGTCACTTTTATTTCTTTTATTAAGTTATCCTATTTGGCTAGATCACCATTTTAAACATGGAAGGTGGCAGTAATGAGCTCACTTATAGCTTAGCTACAAAGAGTGAAGTGGAGTATTGAGGAGCTTTTAGTGCTACAAGAAACAGATTTAAGGCTCTGGGCTCTTCTTGTTTTAGCATCACCATCATCTGAGACTAGTGGTTGTCAGATAAGTATCACTATACTTACACATTTGAGATGAATCATGGAACTTGTCATGCCTCTGGTATGCGATCCTCTTAATGTAAATTTTGCACAGAACATTTTTCTACTCTCTGATTATTTAAAGTGCTCCCACACATATTTTTAAGCATCTTTGATGTTTTAGCTGCACTAGCCACATGGAAAGTGGTGTAGTTTGTTCTCTGAGGCGACATGTATGTCTTGCATAAATTTAGGATGTATTCCACTAAACCAGCTATAATTTATTTATTTTGAGCATTTTTCATATATTAACAATAACTGTTCTTTTTAAATGCCTTTGCTGATGTGTTGTAGTTTAGGCTACAGTTTCTGTGGCTTGAAAAACCTGCTCTTCATAGCAAGGAAGTGTGAAAAGCACCTCTGTAACACACTCTAGATTTCTGCAAGTCTATTAAATAGCATAAATTTAAATGGAAGATATACCCAAATAATTAGTAAAAAGCCATTTTATGTTAACAAAATCTATTTTTTCTCACTTAATTAAAGCATTACAGTGAAAATCAAATCATTACTCTGAAAAAGGCAAGGTGCCCTAATTTTTTAAAGGCAGTGTCAATTCTTTTAACTCCTCAATTTATGTTCTTGTCTGTGGTTGCTTCAGGTGGCGTGTGAATGGGTCAGATGTGGTGATAAGAGAAGACTCTCACTACACACTGGTGGCCGGTAACCTGGTCATCAGTAACCCCCAATATGGCCGTGATTCTGGCTCATATCAGTGCCTCGCCATCAACCGCTGTGGCACCATTGTTAGCCGTGCCGCCAACCTCAAATTTGGCTGTGAGTGAGCAACAAACCTCCACTAGGCTCTTGGGAAACATGATGGGCCTGGTGAAATCTGACTTTTTTATTAATTTACATTGTTTTGTTAGATTTTACATTTATTGGCACTAAAAGTAAGTCTACTACTGCCTTTATTGTTTTTTTTTAGACCTCCGTGATTTCCCTTCTGAAAGCAGGAGTCCTCAGACAGCTTATGAGGGTGCTGGAACTTTCCTCGCTTGCCAAGCCCCAGCTCACTACCCAGGTAGACAGCAGGGCTACAAATTAAAAGCTTAAGCTCTTCAAAGCTGAGCAAAAGTCAGTGCAAATGTCACCTTCTTTCTTTTTAGCACTCTCCTACCGATGGATCCTCAATGAGTTCCCTAGCTTCGTCCAGCCAGATGGAGGCAGGTGGTTTGTCTCGCAGGTGACGGGCAACCTGTACCTAGCCAATGCCAGAGCCAACGACACGGGCAGCTACTTCTGCCTCACGACCATTAACATGGACATCAGCACCAAGAGCACCTTCAGCAAGGCCATCCAGCTCACAGTGCAGCCTGATGGTCAGTGCTATCTGCTAACTTCTGCTACTTCTGCTACACAGCAAAATTGGCTAGTCATATAAGATTACTTTCTGACTGGGCATGTTTAGATTGGGACCCAGTTTCTTTAGCCCTTGTAAGTCAAGATTTATTTCTTACGTATTTATATACTATTCAAAGTAATTATGTAATTATATTTCATAACATAGTGAGTTAGATTTTTTTACTCTCTACTTTTAGATTTAGTCACTTTCTACTTTCAGTCATTTCAGTCAACTTTCCACTAAAGATCATTGCAGGTAACGTGGTGCCTTTGGCATTTTTACTGTAGCCTGGATTTTTTCAACATTTGGAGGAGAGACGCTTTTAAGTAGTTATTCAGAATGCTGGAAGTTGTTTTCCTCACCTTCGTTCTTGTTTTTTGTTAATCTTTAGCTAACCCCAGAAAGTCGGCTCCAAACATTCGTGTGCGCTTCCCCTCTGAGACGTACGCACTGGCAGGCCACACAGCACAGCTGGAGTGTTTCGCCTACGGCAAGTACGTGCCCTTGGTCCTGAGATGCAATTCCCTGTGGAGCTCCTACTGGTTCACCTCTCCATCTGCAACACACTGTAACACAATGCTCATATGAAATCAGAATTTAAAACCTGATTATACACTGAGTTGTAAGTTTGTTTGTTAAACCTACCTTTTACCTACATTCATTGGTCTTTATCAGATACACCTACCTTATAGGTGCACTTTGTAAGTATACAGTTACTGACTGTAGCCCATCTGTTTCTGCACAGTTTGGCATGTTACTCTGCACTGGGACAGGTTATCAGGCACAGCAATGTTGCTTTTTTTAAAACACTTAAGTGTCACTGCTGGGTTGAGAATAGTCTCATGGGGCCAGACGCAATGAGAATACAGCACGTCTGGGGACAACCTGTTAAAAGGGAACAGTCATGTTTGGCGATTTTTTAATGTCATGCCAGAGGTTTGAAAAATGTTTTTTCCTAATCCATTTCAGAGAAAAATACAAGGAAAAAAAACAGACAAGTGGCATTTTCGGTCATATATAAAAAAGAGAGGACCCAGCTTCCAAATTTTACCACATCATGCATGATGTGCTTGGTCTGAACACTTCCCATCACTCGCCCAGCCTCTTCAAAATCACACTCACTCTAACACAACAGCAACTATTCATACATGCATCTCCTTCAAACTCGCAACAGAAAAGGTAGTCATACCAACTGGGAATACAAAACTAACCATGGCAGCGGTTAGAGCAGACTGTGTATTTTGTTCTATATATACAAAATAAGTTGTCTAGTGATGGATTTACATTTTCAGAGTTGTTTCATTAAACCATATCATTTTTAAGTTCACATTGGACATGAAAGAATATACATAGTGGCAGCTGCAGTACATGTCAGCCATACTAACAGGCTTGCTGTCAGTTGGACAATGTTGACAAGTGCTCCTCTACCTCCTACCTTGAGTTCCGCCTGCATGATGTCTGGGATTGGTTCACCCTCTGTTTTTCCCACCCTAATAGGTCTACTTTCTCTGCTCATATTTAGCACAAAACTTCTGCTGGTTGTCCCATTGCATTTTTGTATGAGATAACATCTGGCCAAGACTAGGTTGAGAATAGACCATCCAAAAGTATCCTGAGAATGACCGTTGATGAAGGGCTGGAACATGACTAACACAAATTGTGCATAGAGATACAGTATCTGACTGCACATTTATAAGGTGTACCAACAAGTTAGGTGTGTCTAATAAAGTATATACGTACAGTGTTAAAAACCCCAGCAGTGCTCTTGAGCCTGATACACAGTTAGCAGCGCATCACCCACTAACATGCCACTACCACATTGGTGTCACAATGATCCACAGTGATCCATTACCCAAATAATGTCTGGTCAGGGGTAATCCCATAACTGTCCCTTTCCATTGATGGACTGAATAGAGGGGAGATGAAACATTATGTAGCAACAGATGGGCTACAGTCAATAACCGTAAATCTAAGTGCACCTGTATGGTAGGTGTTTCTGATAAAATGACCAACAAGTGTTGGTACATGGTAAGTGTACCTAATAAATTGCCACAAAAATCAGGCACACTGCCTCTTTAACTATCTATACATCCATCAGTCTGTTGACAATGTCTTTCCTTCTTTCTCAGTCCTACACCCAAGTTGCGCTGGAGGAAAGTAGATGGGGTGTTACCCTCAAAGGTGGGGGCCAGTGCAGATGGCTCTATCCTCACCATTCCTGACCTGAGCTTTGATGATGAGGGCATGTATGAGTGTGAGGCCTACAGCTCAGAGGGAAGGGATACGCACCAGGGACGGGTCTCTGTCCAAGGTACACTTCAGTACTCCAGCCTTAATTGGTGTGGGCCTAATGTGCTAATAGCCTCCGGTGTTACTGCTGGAAACAAGATTTCATGTAACAGCAGTAGATAAAAGCAGGCCTGTTAAGTCAAGAGCGGAATAGTGATGAAACTGAGGCTAACAAAAAAAATTTGAGAACAATTGAAAAAAGCACTGATTATTCTAGATTTCTTACAGCTCATCTACTTTCTTGCCAAATAGTTATTGCACTTTCCTTACTCTACTGTGTCTAATATATCAACAGCAGCAACTCTATTGTTTGGAGGAATAACCTCTATTATTAATAAGCTAATAAGGCCTCTACAGTGTTGAGTTAGCAGGATGAATCACTTGATCTATAATTAATGTTTGTACCATTCAGGATGTGCTAGCATAAGAATAAGTATATGTAGGCAGTGAGGTTCATACAGCATGGTTTTCTTGGCACAGCCCACACTGAAATAAGGACACTGTGGATGAGTAATGATATGAATGTGTTCGTGTGTGTGTGTTGTAGCCCAGCCAGAGTGGCTCCAGGTGATGAGTGATTCTGAGGTAGAGATCAGTTCAGAGCTGCACTGGAGTTGTGTAGCTGCAGGAAAACCAAGACCTATAATCCGCTGGCTACGCAACGGATTGCCTCTCGGCACACAGGTGAGCCACACACACACAGACACACACTTTAATGCGCATAGTGGTAAAGAGTAACTGAATTAATTAAAATGAAATAAAAATTTCATATATAACATAAAAAACCTCCAAAAAAGTCACTTTACAGGAGAAGCAAAAAACATTAACTTTTAGACCACTTCTATTGGTCCGGTAGTCATTCAGTTTTGACGCAGTATAAACGGCAGGTGGAATTTTCAAAAAGGCAAAAATGGACATAAAAAATTTTGTTCTGACAGTAATAATAAAATTGTATACAAGGTGCCTATAGTATTAACATTACCTTTCATATTTAAGTACATTTGAAGTGATAGTTCCACAGAAAATTACATTTACATGACTTTCTCACTCTACAGTGCGACAATAATGTGCTTGGAGAAATTAATCCCGTGCAAATACAAGAAAGATCACTTTCACACTGTTGTGTGAAACAGCTTTCTGTTTGCACGACTAGTGTACATAATTCCACTCAAATATTTTGCCATTTCTAGTGTTTATAGAAGTTGCAGTCAATTATTCATAAGCTATTCTCACTAGTTTGTGTGTGCAGTATCGAAAAACATTTTCCCACTGCCCAAGCAGTCTCTTTAAGCATAGCCATATAAGCTGCAACGCAAGTAAAAATCAAGTGTTTGGGGTAGATGTAGTCTATCAGGTAATTTTAACACTAAGTGTCCACAAAGTACAAAATGCCCATAAGATGTTTAGCTTTGGACTGTAATGTCATGTGTAAAGCCAGCAATGATTTGAAATTGTACTGTTTACCTGCTGAAAAAAGTCAGCCCAAAGACATCTAGGATTTAGAGTCTGAGGCACATTTGAGTCTGACCTTTAGGTTGCTTCCCAATTTGAAATTTGTGGCTGTAACCATACGTGTATTTGCGAGATATGGTGTCCTCTCTTTCAGTGATGCACAAAAATGCTGCTTTACTTTCAAAAGCTCCCCCTTCTGGAAAATCTGAAATATTGTGGAGAGAATTAAAAAAAACTAAATGTTGAATTCAAATCATTTACATGCTGCTTCTGTTGTTTAACAGTTAAAATGACAAATTGTTCCTCTTTTTGGGATTAATTTGTTGTAGAAGTATTGTTGTGTTCTTTTCTACAATATTTTAATTTGTGCTTCAGCATTTTCAACTTTTCTAGCACTAGCAGTACTTGCTCAGAAAGTCTAGATACAGCCCTGCTTTACACAGAATGTTATTGATCAGCCAAGACATGTTTAGAGTCCTAAGTTTGCTACTTTATTTTTTCACTGGAACTTTGAGGCAAATTCTCAGCTAGCCAACACGTACGAGAAGTTTATACTACACTATTCAGTATGCTGCAAAACTGCATATCTAAATCATCACACGCTTGCTTCAGTCCATGTCGAGCTGTTAAGCAATCTCAAACAAATTTGCTTTTGTGGTTCTTGACAACATATAACATTCTGTTATGTATGTATGACAATGGACAAAACACAGGCTTTGAGAAGACTAAACATGTCATGTTTGATGTAGTACATTAGAGGTAATTGTGGAAATTATTATTTTTTTCCACCAAAGTCTCGCTTCCTGTGTATTTTGGTACTGCCATCAAAGTGAACAGTTTGTGTACTTGTAGACTGAACACACACTCACAAACACACACACATTATATACACCTACACAGTAGCAGCAAACTGGGATGAGATTCACATCACAGCACACATAGGTGCAGTGTTATCACCCATCTGAATGTGTTATCACAGACAAACCTGCAGCACCTGTCTGTCAGAGCACATACTGATATAAGATACAGATCAAAATCCAACGCAGCCCCAAAACAACTTATTTTTAGATGATTACACCTGCCTGAGAGACACTGGGGAATGGCAGTAAAGAACAGGGTTAGCCGTTATCACTGAGTGATCTTTTACAGACCTGTCATCCATTGATAGTGTAGTTTGTCAGCATGTCAGAGGCCTATTGAGTATCTTGTCAAAAGTGAATGTTTTTTGATGTACTGTCTGTGTTCAGGACCGCGTAGAGGTCAACAACGGCCTCCTGAAGATCAGTAACCTGGCCCTGGAGGATTCTGGAATGTACCAATGCGTGGCAGAGAACAAACATGGCACCATCTACTCTAATGCAGAGCTCAGGGTTCAAGGTAAGCAAAACCTGCCTGAATCAACCTATCCATGCTCCACTCACAAATGTTTTGTAGCTGTAGCCAGATTTACAAACTTCATGGAACAGACAAACATCCATTAAACCAAACGAGAACTGTCGCACCATTTGCAGCATAACTACGAGTGATTCCACGATTGGGATGCGATTTAGTAATTGTTACTCTTAAAAATTACATTTTGTTTTTTAGTATTTTTTAACATTGAATCTAAGAGAACATTCATTTACCCACTCAAAAGTGAGTTAAACTATCTCAGGACCAACATCAGAACCTTTGAAGTAAGCTTGTCAGTCAGCATCACAATATCATTGAAAACAAAGAAAAAATAATTTGCTTTTTGTCTTCCAATGATCTTCAGGAAAATCAGATGATGTTCTTGTTGAACGTGTGACTTGCGAATATTATGTGATATTTCATAGGGGTGAAATATACATAACCTATAAAAGGTGACTTAAAAGGATATTTGAAATGTGAGATCTTAAAATGATTCAAATATATATTTTAATGGTTATATTTCAAAGTGAAGTCTAGTTAGAGTGGGCAAAGACCACCAGAACACTGCTTTCTAAGTACGGAATATTTTGCTGTAGGTTTTAGTTATGTTTTAGATTAATAAAATATTTCTAAATCTTATATAGAGATTTCTATATCAGAGATTTCTAAAAAAATGCACACAAGTTGCACAAATGCCACCCCAATCATGGAATCACCCACATAATAGTTGTGTTTACCTGTTTAAAATGCTATGCTACATATGTTGCTGTAAATAATCCAAACTAGTCAGTTTGCAAACTAAATTTTCCAGTATGCTCATGTTAGTTTCGCAACATGAAAAAAAGCTATGCCTACAGACTGTAAGATTGTAAACTTTCACATGTGCATAGGAATAAATATTATTTGAAATGAAAATGAATAATCCTCTGAATTTAGGTATTTTGGCAACGATTGAGTTGAGCAGAATACTTTAAAGATGCAGTGATGACTGAATATCAATATATTGTCCTAAATGTATTCAGTAACATATTCTGTTACATTACATAAAAATGTCACATATTCTGAATACCTTTGGAATACATTTAGAATCCATTTTGATAAGGAACATGGGAAAAACTCTGCTGTTGTAATTTTTACTTAATTTACACTGTTCCTCATTGTCATTGGTTAGCACTTTGTTATTAGTCTGTGTTTCTGTTGTTCATAAGCTTATCCATAATCAGTATGAATCATTTTTCTGAAATAAAACAATGCATGGGCTTATTAGGAACACAGTTGTACTAGGATTAAAGGGACCTCTGTAATCCCAGTCCATACTTTTCATCATTTCTGTTTTTTATTAAATTTTTTTAAATACACCATGTAAAGCTTGCTTGATTAATCTTTTGTTTTGTTATTAAATACGCCATAGGTAGATATAGGTATTACTGGGGCTTAACCTCATACATATTGTCAAATACTTGTCCCACTTTTGCTCGCCATACTTGAAAATTAAAATTACTTGAGAATTAAAGTATTCTAAAAGCATTCTCCTAAAAATGTAAAAAGTAACTGTATTTTGAATAGTGCCTTTACAAAATGTAAAATGTTTGTCTTTAGGTTTAATTGAATTTGGACCAGTGTTCTATAAAGCTTGGCTAATCTAACAGCAGTTGCTATGAAAGAATGCTTTTGTTTGTAAAGCATGGATAGGTCAATTATCTCACTTTGTTGTCATACAATTTAACATATAATCAGTACTAATTTATATTAGTTGTATGAGTAATATGTTTCACAATACTAATGACTGTGTAACATATTAATCTGTTTTTCTCTACTCTCTATTCTCTTGCTGTATCCACTGCAGTGTCCAAATCCTGTTTCACCCATCCAATCATACCACTACCCTGACTGTAGCTGTATTTGTGGTTAGGCCTTCCCAGGAACTCTTTCCTTCCTTTTACTCATACTGTGTGATTCCTCCTCTCTTCTTCATTCTTCTCTTCTCTTCTTTTCTCTTCTCTTCTCTTCTCTTCTCTTCTCTTCTCTTCTCTTCTTTTTGGATGGATTGTGCTCTCCCAGTCCAGGCTCCAGATTTTAGGCTAAATCCAGTGCGGAAACTGGTTCCCGCAGCCCGTGGTGGTCAGGTGAAGATGGAGTGTAAGCCTCGAGCTGCTCCTAAACCCACACTCTTCTGGAGTCGCGGCACTGAGCTCCTGACTAACAGCAGCAGGTAATACACACCACAGTATATCTCTTTTTTTTCTCTGAGGTTGCTGGATTTGTAAATAGTAGATGTGTTGCCCTTCCCTGATGCAGAGTTACGGGGTCTTGGAGAATGTACTGTGATGAAAGCTGAGGAAAAAAAATGAAAAGGAAAACAAAAAGAGAGAAAAGCGGACGGTAGACAAGAGCACTTATTCAAGCAATAACTTCAAGACGGCACTCACATCAAAGAGTTTCAGTTGATTTCATCATGTTTGGCAGCATCCAGTTTTTTTTTTCAGAATGGCCCAAATGGGCTGACCTTGCTTTACGGGCTCTGAGTTCAATGGAATGTAATGCAATGATGAAACAATGAAATAATGATTGGAGTAGCTGATTTCTTTTGATAGATCAGCTTCAGGCTGGGTACCTGGAGGTAAATAATAATGTGTGATGAATTTGCCCACAGGGTAACAGTCACGCCAGACGGGGTTTTGTGGATCTATAACATCAGCCGGGCCGATGAAGGGAAGTACACCTGCTTTGCTGAGAACTACCTAGGCAAAGCTAACAGCACTGGGCACCTGTCAGTCAGAGGTACATTAAACCTTACAAATCTAGCGTTGTTTTAATGGACTATTTCAATGTTATTACATAAATAATTATATAGTTAAATGAATTATAATGAAACAATATTTATTCATAAAAAATATTATTATATTAGAAAGGTGTGAGTCTGCGTTTCAGGCTCTTTTTTTCATTTGCTTTACACAAAAAAATAAAACATGGAAAAATGTCATGCTTTGGCTTCTTTAAACAAACATTGCTCATTGCTGCCTCTAACTGTCATAGTCATAGTCATAAGAGCCATGACGTCTTACATTTACATGTTATTTGTTGTGATGTAAATATATGAAAGCTTATAACTGTGGAACTGAATTGCCATCAGCTCAAATAATTGTGATTATGTAAAACTTGTAACAGGCCCCAGATATGAGAAAAGTGCTTTATAAATGGAACAGATAAATAAATAAAAAATAATAATCAAATATTTCCTAAACTTGTGAACACTAATATGATATTAATTGAAAGTGAAGAATCCACAATTCCAACAGAATTTCTTGCTCCCTGTCTTTCAGTGAGATATGAAAAATAATACATATAAAATTACAGCTTTTGTTATTGCTGGGAATATCCGCAGTTCTAAGGGTTGACGGCATTAGTTTGTTTGGTATTCAACATCCTTCTGATGTTTGGAGATTACACTGTGCACTGATGCCACTAGACTTCCCCCTTAATCTCTTTTCATAATCTTATCTTTTTTCCAAATACCCCTCAACTGCACAGATGCCACGAAAATTACACTAGCACCCTCCAATGCCGACATCAACCAGGGGGAAAACGTCACCCTGCAGTGTCATGCCTCACATGACCCAACTATGGACCTCACATTCACCTGGTCGCTCAATGGGGTTCTGCTGGACCTGGAGGAACCAAATGGACACTACCATCGTGTAGAGGGGGTAAGTGCTTTACAACTACGCTTACTTTTTCTATTGTGAGGAAAACCAATTAAACCTGCACAGTTTCTGTTACGTCTAAGTAGATTGTGTGTTGTTTTGCCCTAATTCGTAGATAATATTTTCAGGTTGATGACAGTTAGGGGTGGGAATCTCTAGGCACCTTACGATTCGATTCGATTACGATTCAGAGGGCTGCGATGTGATTATAAAACGATTTTCGATGCATCTCGATGCATCTTTTTTTCTATATAGCATTTATATTTTCTCACTGTGTGAGCTCAAGTTTCGAGTTCAAGTTTCAAATTTATTTCTCATTAAATATACACAAAATATACACAAAATATACACAGAATATAGAGACAATATACATTTTAAAGTGACTAAGTGACTCGATGTTATCGTTATTTAAAGTGACTTGGTACTTTTAAAGCAAAGTATTTGTAATGATCCATACTGAATTTACTTCCAATATCTTTTTTAATAAAACAAATGGAAGTGATGTGGCAAGTGAACTAGACGGCTCTCATTCAGTGCTCTTGTTTGGAGCACGAGAAGCTGCTGCTACTCATCTGCGATAAAATGCGCAGTTATGGTGAAATAAGATCCAGTGGCAATGGATGTCCACGCAGCACGTTACAGCTATTCTACCTGTTTTCTTTAGTGATCTTATAACTTCGGTTTTGGTCTTGTTGTAGAGAGTGGGGAAGGGGAATTGCTGTGTCAGTAAAATATCTTTGAGACGGGTCGTGTGCAACATAGCGCGAAAGCCCTGTTTCGCAATGACTGAGAACCGGCGTGCAGACAGCAGGTCACCTAGCAATGATGTGTTATTCGCATTTATAAGCAGCGCAGTTGGTTTCCTGGTCCGTTAAATCTGCAACGAGAGACTGTCACACACTAAAAAGTGGCGAAGCTGAAGTCAGCTTCTCTTTCGAATTCTCCCATTCCACCTTAAATGGTGCCGTATTTACATTCGGCACCTCAGTAAGAATTTAAGGTGGAATGGGTAAATTTGAACAAGAAGCTGGAGAATAAGAAGCGACTTCAGCCTCGTAAAACAGTCGAACATTTTACAAGAAACTGATCTACTTCTGAGGAAAAGTTTTCTGGCGGAGATGGGAGGAAAGCGGCTATAGCTGAGCTAAAGCTTAAAGCAGAGCAAAGTAAATCTGTGCTCTCGTTTATATTGTTTAGTCTATACTAGGACATCATCACATACTGAGACATACTGGACAGTAAATCTTGTAGCTCCCAAGGTGGTGTGATTTTTGTTGAAAGGACAAAATGTCTCTTCTTAACATTTGGGTTGTGACTCCTGACCTAACCTGGCTTTTAATGCAGAGGCTGTCGGTCGGATTTCTCGCTCTTCCACTTGTGTTTTTGTTATGTGCCGCCACAGACTGTCCGGGCACTGCACTTCCGCACTTCCGAGTTCCGCCTTTTGCGTTCCGTCAACATTACGTTATAAATTAAATATTTAGAAAATCGTTTTTTGACATTTGTGAATCAATTCAGAATTGTTCACATCCGCATCGCAATGCATCTAAGAATCGTTTTTTTTCCGCGCCCCTAATGACAGTGCAGTCAGCAAAGCCACAGTCATATTCTCTCAGTAATGAAGCAACTTTGGCTTCTGCTGTTGAGACAAATTGTTGTGGATTTAAGCAGAAGCATGTTGTGGTGAGATTTTGATGATGTTCGTAATGAGTTGAGCAGGATTATTATTTCTTTCTGAATTAGCATCACACATCTCAGCAGCCTCTGAACTGTCTTATAATAGTACATACTTCTGTTTAGCTCTGCCTGTATTCAGCCACTCTGTGGTTCTGCTTAGTATTCATTCATGCTGTGAAGCATCCATAAATTAGGAAAATAATGAAGCACGATAATCCACATCCAATTATGAAAAGCTGAACACTCTTCCTACTCTGGCTAGCGCTGGGCGATATATTGCCATTACCAGCGTGCCAGTCTTAGTGTTACATGGCAAAATTCATTTTTTTTGTTTTAGAAGTAGATTACAGTAGATAAAAAAGTTAATAGCTACGGTGTCACTTGTGATACAAATTACTTTAAAACTAAATAGAGTTCACTAAACTTTTAATAGTAAGTTAACAGAACAATAATCTGTGTTTTACACTGTTAGCTACATTTTTGAAGTTCAAAAAATTCAAACTGTTAATCAGCAGTCACTGCAACCAGATTTTACAGTGTAGTTTTTTGTATCCTTAAGGCAGTGACTGGTTATCAGTTGTGGAGATTTGTGACAATTCAGCTAGTAAAGAGACTTTTCAGTGTGAATTATCTTTGTACTAAGATGCATTTGGGAAACCCAGGCCTAGTGGTTTATTAAAAGGGGAAAAAATGGCAAGTGACCACTCGGGCCAGAATGTCATATTTTGTGGCCTGAGACATGATGCAATAGGCAATGTCGACCCCTGAAAATGACACTTTGATATTGTCATATGTTCAAAAATGCTGTGATATTGAATTTTACCAGTACCACCCAGCACTAACCGTAGTGTTCTTTTCTAACTTTTTCTTCACTTGTCATCTTCCACAGAAAGAGACCATAGGTGACCTGGCCATTGTGAATGCCCAGTTGAGTCAAGCAGGCATCTACACATGCTCAGCCCAGACGGTGGTGGACAGTGCAGTGGCTTCTGCCCGGCTGGTGGTGAGAGGTGAGGGGTTGGTGTGTGTGGGCAGAATTCAAGCAGGAACCTCATTACAGCTCTCTAGGATAGATCTGAGTTGAGCAGGCCTCGGGCAACTGCCCTTACGCTCATTTTAGCTCTGTTTGGCGTTTCACAACTGATGGATGAATCCAGGATTTACTTTAGCACAGTGTCTTTTAGGGCTGCACTATATATTGTTTGTTTGTTAATCATTATCGCAAGTCACCGATTCACAGTCATGTTTTGGCCAGCCCACAAACATAGTATTTAATTTTTATTGGCCAACCAGAACTAAGATAACATTACCAAAAAGTGAAAAGAGATGTTTAATGAGCGGTGAAGTTGGTTTGATTTTCATATATTTAAATTTTTTTCTTCAATGGCTTTCAAACGATGGGCTAGAAAGGTTTTGTTGTGGGCAAATAAGACCGTCAGTTCCATTTTGTTTGCATCTGAAATTGATGTAGAACACATAGATAGTCGTAATTACTATGAGAGCTAAACACGGGTCATTGGGTCCCAAGCACAACATGCGTTATGTAACCAGTAGAAGGAAAATGATTGGCGAAGCTATGAGAATGGCCTCTATTTATAATGAGATGTGGGGTTTCAAAAGGAGATATTCGCCAGATTTTGTATACACTAATCTTTTGGCCTTGGTATGGTAAGCAACATTGTTTTTTTACACCAGAATGCAACACAATTTTTATGTTAAAATCACTGAAATGTTATCATAGTAATGATACTCCTGGACCTTGCTATAGGGGATTGGTTCTCACTTGTTTCCTTGCTCATGAGTTTTCATGTCTGTCTTTAAACCTGTCACTTTACTGATTTACCAGTGTATTTTAATAAATTGCAAGGCTTACTGCAGTTACAATATGCTGTAATCTAATACAAGTATTTTGTCCTTATTGTGCAGCACTAGTGGCTCTCAGTGCCATGGAATATGAATAAAGGATGTGTATTTTTAGCAAATACTCCTAATAAGGGTACCAGCATGCTGTCTGATGCAAATTGTTCTGCTTCTAAAAATACCAAAAGCTCATGGAACCCCTGGCATTTGAAAGCACTCATAATTATGTTGTAGTGCTTTCTCTCACTCTGGGCATGTGAGTGGCTCTGATGGGAGGCAAATTGCAGTATGTACCCTGAACAATGGCCAGTAAGGATAAAGCACCTATAATCCTTACATTGCTCTTTTTTGTCTTTCTCTTTCCCGTGTTCGTTCTAGGACCTCCAGGGCCCCCTGGAGGTTTGGTGGTGAAGAGTGTGAACGAGACAGCGGTGGAGCTTAGATGGAGTCGTGGCTATGACAACCACAGCCCTATTGGAAAGTATGTCATTATGGGCCGCTCTGAACACTCACATGACTGGAAGAGGATGAGGACAGGTGAGACAACCCGTTTTTAGACCAAGTTATAATCAACATAATTTCTAATTTACTTTCGTTGAATATTTGGTCAGCAGTACCAGCAAATATGTTTAAGATGTAGGAATTATATGATAAATATGATATTTAACCCATAGAAGTCATAGTTTTCATCTGTACAAATTATAATTTTTCATTTTATTATGATTTAAATTTGATGAAGCAATATTGTTGTTTATACAGTCTTGTTTTGGTGAAAAGAATTTCTTATCAAAACATCAGAATATAATTTAAATGTAAATGTGCTTATTTCATAAATATGTAATTATTTCTGTAATTATGTAATTACATTTAAATAGTGTAGCAAAACGACAGTAACACTACTACTACTACAGACTACTCTACTGGTGCTAGCTGTTGCTTTTAATTTGTCTTTCAAAGAACATCATGTTCAGTAAATTTAATAATAACCAGATGTTCATTCATTATGCAACGGCCTATCAAGACCCTGTTAACATCGAGGGCAACGCTGAATCTGCCCGTGTGATTGACTTGCGGCCCTGGATGGATTACGAGTTCCAGGTCATTGCCAGCAACATTCTGGGCAGTGGAGAACCCAGCATGCCATCACAATCCATTCGCACCAAACAGGCAGGTCAGAGAAACGCTCTGCTTTAATCATACACATTACAGCACACTTAGGCTTGTTGTCTAGAAACAGATTAAGCTTAGTTTTGAACTAAGGAGATTTTCAGTGTCCCCGTAGTTTAGGTTCAAGACTGTGCTGTCAGTACTGTCACGATCTCTCAGTCTCTATTACTTGATTAAAAAAATTATATGGTAAAATTATAATTAAACGGTAAAATTATAATTAAAATTACCTAAAATTACCTTATTATTCTCAATGAATTGACAGCTGTTAGTGGGTAACTAGCATGATGATAAAATCGCCTACTAATCTCTCTTAAAGTAAGAAATTGTTCCTAATCTACAGTTAACACTGTCTGCAGGGAATAAACTTAAATATGGCTTAACTTTTCTGCAAATTTTAGTGCGCAATTTCTATTTATTTACATTTTATTTATTCTGTATGAGTTATATCGGAATACATAAAATATGAAGGAATACATAACATATAAACCTCAGCGCAGGATACATTTTCTGTTTTATTTTTTTCTAAAATGATAAATTTAGCAAATAAGCAGTAAATGTGTTCTCTGTAGAGGATGTTTTAACTTAGTATCGCTTCAAATATGTACAAAACACATAGTTTGTCTAGTAACACCTAAACCTATGATTATATATGCATTTTTAGCATCTTTTTTATGTAACTTTTTTATAGACTACCTTGTTTTGAAATATTTTTTAAAGACTATGCATGATTTGTTTTTGTTCATTTAGGTCCATTTTTTATTGATCAGACTGAAAGCCCTGTTTACTCGATTACTTGATTACTAATGTAATCAGTGACAGCCTTAAGACTAAGCTTGCTGTGAAGTGATGTGGTTGTGTCTCTTGAAATAAGTGTTGTGTATCTTTGGGTGTTTTAGCTCCTACAGTGGCACCCAGTGGCCTTGGAGGAGGAGGAGGAGACCGCAATGAGCTCATCATAACATGGACAGTAAGCATGCTCTCGCATCCACCTATAGTTTTAAATTTTATATGCTATAGTACTTTTTGTGTCATTCTGATTTCAGAAAATAGATGTATTTATACATGTTAATATATTTACTGATTGTATTACATAATGTAGCTGTCATAAGAAAACTTTGAAATTGTAACTTTATAGGAGAAGAACCTTTGTAACTTAACATCTGTTAATGGAAGCTCTTCATTTTCATCAAAAAAAATTCAGTATGTCCACACATCATGCACAACATTGTAAATGGCAGCTGACATTTTCAAAGGATGAGGAAAAAGAGTTATGAGGTTTTGTTATGGTAACTGCAATAAGTAAAATGTTTGTTTTTCTTTCCTGAATGTGATATGTAGCCCATGGCAAGGGAATATCAGAACGGAGACGGCTTTGGCTACATCCTGTGGTTCCGGAAGCTGGAGACTCCATCGTGGACTGTGGTTCGCGTGCCCAATGCGGAGTCATCACGATATGTCTACAGCAACCAAAGCCTTTCACCATACTGCCCCTTTGAGGTCAAAATCAAAGCCTACAACAGCAAAGGCGAAGGCCCATTCAGTCAGATAGCTGTGGTGCACTCTGCAGAAGAAGGTAAGAACCTCAAGGATGCTGGCTGAGAAAGCTTTGATTCTCAGCACTGCAGTGACACCAACACAGTAGTGGCATGTCAGTGCATCCCACTGGTGCAAGTGTATCAGGCATAACAGTTCTGCTAGGGTTTTTAAATGCCTCATTGTCACTGTTGGATTCAGAGTAGTCCACCAATGAAAATATTCAACCAACTGTGGTTCTGTAGTCATAGGCTGAAAACAGGTGAAAGGCCAGAGAATGACTAATGCAAATTTGGCATGAAAAACGATGAGATACACTCTCCAACTGTACACCCACAAGACGTACCAACCAAGTAGGTGTGTCTAATTAAGTGGCCAGTAATGGTGTTTTTACAACTGGGCAGTACGATACAATACAGTATTAGAGATCTGAACTCTACCCATACTGATCGAGTAGCTGTGTCTCTGTTTCCCATCACATAACAGAACCATGAAAGTAGGCAGAGTTCTCTTTAGCTTGTGCGGTCACATGATTTCTTACACAAATCTAGTGTTAACACAAATAAAAGTAGCAGCAATGGAGGAGCTCTGATGTATGTCTTGCAGTAATTCTGGCTGGCTATATTTTTTGTTTGTTTTTTTTGACATTTGACAGTGACACCATGTGAAATTGTGTGATGATTGACCAATCAGTGGTTTTCACCACCCATCCTTTCTGGCTTGGCATGCTTGGTACTACAATGAGAAGGGTAATCAAACATGGGTACTCAGGTATGGTGTGTCACACTTGGCAGAGGAAGTTACTTCAAAATGCTTAATCAAGGATTTACAACCTACTGCACTGTATGGTGAAAAAAACAGGCACAGTGTTCAAAAACCCCTGCAGTGCTACACAGTAAAATTATTTATTGTTACCTGGTTGACTAACCCGGTTAGTTTTAGTTCATTGAACTTCAAATAATCAGTAACACAATGTAAAACACATATTTTTGTTCTATTAACTTACTTTTAGAAGTTCAATAAACTCAAATTTGTAAGGCAAAGATGGCCTATTTGAAGCAGATTATTTTCTTATTTCCTATGACTTTACTGACAGAAGGAGACCCTAGATCAGCAGTCCTACTCTGAGAAGCTTTGTGAATACAGGACCAGGTTACAAACTTTTTTAAGTTAAAACACAATCATTTTTTTGTGTGCTGCACTTGATACTCTTCTACCAGCACGAAACACAAACGTAACATACTACCACCATGTTGGTGTCACTGCTGTGCTGGGAATAGTCCACTACCCAAACAATAGGGTCCTGTGGTGGTCCCTTATGCATATTATAGAGCAACAGATGAACTGCAGTTAGTAATTGTAAACCTACCAAGTGCACCCACATGTATCTGATAACCAGTGGTACAAGGTACAAGGTAGGTGTACTTAATAAACTGTACTGTATACAGCACTAAGTTGCAGCCAGCCTGTCCACAGGTTTGTTTTTACATTATGGACTATAATGCCACATGTAAATGTCCTTAATACTTAACACTTAAATGTAAAACCTCAATGCAAAGTATCAATGTTTGCTGAATGCATCTGGTTTTGATTAGCTTGATGTTTTCTGTATAACCACTAGAGGTCAGTCCTGGAAGTGGTTAAATAAAGATGGTGAAAAAAGAATCTCTAATTCTGTCTCATTCAGAGCCCACAGTGTCCCCCCGCAAGATTAATGCCACAGCTGTAACAGCCTTCGAGATCCAGGTGTCTTGGGAACCAGTCCAGCATTTAAGCACCAACGGAATACTGCGTGGCTATGAGGTCTGAATATACACCTCTTTATTTATACTTACACATTCAGTCATTTATGCCCTAGAAATAGTCATGCCATCTTCAGCTGATAAATGCGGAAGCCAAGAAGAAACGAAAGAACCGCAGTTTATGAGAGATTAGTGTGAGATTGCTTCGGTGTTAACAACGGTCCATAGTGTTGCCTGTTGGTCTATTGACTTGGCAGCTCAAGCACTGGGCATATAAAAGGTTTTTGTTACTTTATTGTAATTGTTTCTTTTGACAGTCAGCATGTGTTTATCTGTGCTGAGCAGACAAATAAATGAAGTAATGGCTGCTACATGACCTGAAGTGAACATTGTCTTGTTAATAATAAAGCATTAGTTGCACAACATTATTAACTACTGCTTGGATTAAGTTGACACTAGCTCAGAAGCTAATATGTAAGATGGTATAATATTTGACACTGGGGACCAAAATCTGGTGAAAATACTTCTGTTTTCTGCATTATTTTTTAAATTAATACAAATTCTGTTACCAGCATAACAATTTGAATGAAAAAGTGGAACGTTTGAAATACACAGAATTTCTTAGTACTTGGTATGTGTCTTTGCTTTAATGACAAGTTGAACAATTGCTGCAAGTTAAACAAGCCACTGATAAGTAGATCAAATCCACCTCCTAATACATGCTTCAATAGAAGAGATAAGATTAAAAAGACCCTTCTATATGAAGGCCTTAGCATAGTCAATGTCCCATATTTGCTTAAATCTTAATAGTGACCTAGAAATAATGCAGAATATTTATTCTTCATTTTCCTTGTCATAACTTTTCTTTGTTCAAAAATGTTGAATGTTGTTCATTTTTTATTTCTAGCTTTATATAATAATTATTTAAATAATTATTTAAAGTAAAATCTGAAAATCCCAGATTTTCATTGTAGTCTCTTACTTTTGGACCCCATTGTATATAATGCCTGCTCTCTTGTCATATAATACCTAAGGTGCATAGCATGGTAGTTCTAGTATTGTTACTGTTAAATTGCTTTAGATCACCTAAATTAATACTGTTAACTTTAACAGTATTAATTTAAGTGATCTAAAGCAATAACAATTAAAAATTATACAACTAAAAATTAAAAAAGATAAATACAAAAAGAGAGGTAGAATACATACACCCAGGTTTTGTACTTCAGGTTTGGTATACAATGCAAAAGAGCCTGTAGTTTCTCACAAAGCTGCTTTCTCTGAATTTTAGTACCAAGAATCAGTATTTCAGTTTTTGTTTGATTTAGTTGTAGAAAATTGTGCATCATCCACTGACAAACATCTGATACATCTGTCAGCCTGTCAACAGAATCTTGATTTTCATATTTTCAGAGTCTTGATTTTCAGAAATCTGTGATTTTCTTTTGAAAAATACATGTTTCAGACTGTGTTTGGGGGCTGAAGTCTAATGAAAAGAATATCCATTTCTGAAAGGTTTTTCATCTCTGCTTAATGAGTGTCACTTATGCTAGAGTGGCTTTTTGAAAGTAAAGCAAAGTATACAAGATAAGGATAATATGACTGGGGAAAGGCTTACCATCACCCTTTCTATCAGTATTAAAAAAAATAAATTACTGCATAGTTCTGTTGGGGTTTGTATTGACATCATTTCCATATTAAAAATTTACAATTTTGTCTTTCAGTTTGCTTATGTTCATGGTGATATGTTTTATTCATGTGGAATATCAAGTGAAGGCTGCACTACACTTCTGATGTTGTGCTGTCCCTTTATTCCTAGATTCGGTACTGGCGGCAACACGAGAGAGAAGCAGCAGCAGATCGTGTGCGGACAGCTGGGTTGGAGAGCACAGCTCGGGTTTCTGGGTTAAGACCCAACACCCTCTATCATGTCACTGTTCTGGCTTATAACAGTGCTGGCACAGGCCCACCCTCGCCGCGAACCACCGTAATCACCAAGAAGCCCCGTAAGTGCATTGCTCATGTCCATGCGTATGACTGGGCTGGAAGTATATCTGCGCCCTCGTTTATATTTTTAGCCCATACTACGACATTAACACATACTGGACATTAAATGTTGTGGCCCCCAACGTGGTTTGACTTTGTTGAAAGGCAAAATGTCTCTTCTTAACATTTGTGTTGTGACTCCTGACCTAACCTGGCTTTAATGCAGAGGGAGCCGGTTGGATTTCTCACTCATCCACTTGTGTTTTTGTTATGTGCCGCCACAGACTGTCTGGGCGCTGCACTTCCACACTTCCAGTTCCGCCTTTTGCATTCCATCAACATTACGTTATAAATTAAACATTTAGAAAATCGATTTTTGACATTTGTGAATCGATTCAGAATCGTTCACGTCCGCATCGCGATGCATCTAAGAATCGAGTTTTTCCTGCGCCCCTACTGAGTAGTGTCATTTAAATACCTGAACTAAAAACCTGACTTGAAAAAACTGGTTATTAGAAAAGTGGAGTGATTTGTAACTTCACATGTATCTATACACACCATTAAAAGTTTTAAATGCTCCTTCAGTGGGGCCATGATTTCCCATGGAAGTTACCTTGTCATTGAGAACAGTGTGAGCAATGCATAACTTGATGGTTTTACTTTGTACGTCTTTTCATTTTCAGCTCCTAATCGCCCTCCAGGGAACGTTTCATGGAAGACGGATGGTTCTTGGGTAACAGTGAGGTGGGATCATGTTAAATCTATGGACAATGAGTCAACCGTCCAGGGCTACAAAGTAAGTGACACTCAAGGACATTTGAAACTTCAGATGTCATAGATGTTTGCTTGCATTTTTGTCCATATTGGGTCATATTTTGCATCATAAGACTGTGTAGAATACATACTCCTGCCATCAGTTCTTTTGAAAAGACTCCCTTAAGCCAAGCAACTGTATCCTTCATGTCATGCATGTAAGATATCCTTTAATAAATAGGCAGTTTCATGTGATCAAACGTGTACAGGAAATGTACCTGGTGACTCCTTCCTTGAAAGATCCACTCACAAGCTCCAGTTTGTCTTTGATGATAGACCACTGAAAAGTACACAGCCTTCAAAGCTCTGTAGATGGTGACGTAGTGGGTCTTGACTACCCATCTCTCTTATTTTATGCTCAGCGTTGTCTTTAATCTTCTTCTGTAGAATACCTGTCAGAACATGTCATGTACCACTTTGGTGATTGATTCATATGAGACGCACTGAATTGGACAGGCTTGAAATGAAACTGAGCAGTTTCATCAGATAAGGCTTGGTATGAAAAAGCAGCACTATCTGTACTTATCTTAGCATCTTATCAGTTTCGACCCAAAAACATTACTGCTGATAGATTTTTCTTTTCTTTTTTGCCTACAATTTAGAGCAGAATTTGTGAGTTTCACTTTATCATTATTCCTCTAGGTCCTTTACAAGCATGAGGGACAGTCAGCTCTAAAAGTTCTGGACAAAGGAAAGACGTCAGTCAATCTCCCCCTACCCAAAGACAACGGCTATGTGGTTCTGGAGATCCGCTCTTGGGGAGAGGGAGGTGACGGGGCAGCTCACGAGATCATAGTATCTCGAGATTCAGGTATGTCAGTGGTGATGACTGGAAAAAATAGAGTGGATGTGCTCAGTGGTCACACACAATGAAACTTCATAATAATAGGATATTTAATAATCATGTAATCAGCGGACATGCTGCTTTGAGAAGAACTTTTTTAGGGCTGTCACGATTAATTAAAATTGCATACTTGGTTAAAAAACAAATCAGATGTATTATTTTGATGAACTGGTGTGATTAGCGTAATACATGTTTTATTCTCCTGTGTTTCTCTCATAGTGAGCCTGATAGACATGCCTATTTCATATTCATACTTTTTTTTATATGTTTATTTATTTATCTATCATGTATGTCTTTTATAAGCGGCTGTATCTTATGTTTTTCTTGTATTTAGTTTTTCCCTCTGAGGTCCATTTATGACCGGTTTTTTTTTGCAGCAGTTTAATTTCCTTATGTGTACCATATGAACTGGGGAGTGAACAGTCTTTCCATGTGCTTATTTCAAAGAAAATTTGATTTTCTATGACATGGCCTGTTTAAAGGCCTCCTAGTTTATGTGTTTTTTTTTTTTGGAATATTTGAAAGGCTATGCAAGATTTGTTGTGGTTAAGTCCATTTTTGTCATCTGGCCCTTAAAAGGGGCCATAGCCTATATGTTTCTTGTATTTTATACACTTATAATGTTTGCTTGGTTTATTTACCAAAAACTTCTTTTTATCGCTTTATCCCTGAGAATTAAACAGGCTGTTTTGTTACTTTTAAGATTGATATATGTAAATAAGCTCTGTTCTGATTGGCTGCTCTGTGTTGTGCTTAATTCAAAAAGCAGTCTGGGCTGAAACACTCCTTATAACGTCAGTCTGTATGGGTGAAGTTAAACTGCTGTAGGTTGAATAGGCAGATATATGTAAATATCTTGTAAAACTTTAACAGTGTCTATATGCTACATCAAGCTCTTATTTAAAAAAAATAAGGCAAATATGCTTTTCCATGATATGGTCCATTAAAAAAATTGTCAGAATAACTGTCAGGTTACTTGATTATTTATATTATCAATAGTGACAGCCCTAAATAAGCAACACAAGTGGAAAAGAGTGACAGGAACAGTTAACGGCATTTTGTTTGTTCCACAGGAACTGGAATGATGGTTCAGAACAACAGTGCAGGCATTTCCAAATCCTCCTGCACATCAGTCCTGGTGTCAACCACAGCGGTCCTAACTCTAATTGGTTTATTGCTACTGTGATCAGCCAATGTAAATTTCTTTTTCCCACTAATACGCCATAGATATTGGATGATTACTCTCCAGGAGGGGTGGAGCCTTGGGCATTGGGGTCTTTGATTGGGAAAGTTAGGGTGGCTGGGATTTTGGTAATAAAGACAGTGAATGACAGTTGTTTTATTCTTTTGTATAAAAAAATACATTTTTTAACAAAGACTACTGGTCATTGTGGGATGTAAGGAGGGCTGACTATTTGATTGTGTTGTAAACCTCGCCTTATATGAAAATCAGCACATTTCTTGGTTAATTGGAAATGGGCAGTGATTATTCAGAATTTGGTACTAGGTTCTCAAATTCAACCATAATTTCAACTCATAACAGGCGCATAGACTTTAACAGATCCGATATGGTCAAGATCTCACTGTACTCTGTTTGTTTTATAGATGTACATACAGTGCTGGAATATGTTAATGGTGGTATTCCTATGCCACACTAATGTAGTAGAAAAAAAAAACTTTTTTATAAGTTGCTACAGTATGGCAGCATGAGGATTGAATCGAGGTGAATCTAAACGAGGATCCAAATGAAAGTTTACCTTTTTATTATTTTGCTAAAATAGTTATTTGTTTACGGTGTTTTGTGTCTGTCGACTTCTTAAACGTTGTAAAAACCAAACCCAACAGCATCAACTGTGTAAGTGTGTGTGTGTGTATGTATATGTCGGGCTGTTTGGAGATAACAGTTGCCATCGACACTGTGGAGAAACAAAAGTTGATTATTAATGTTCAGTAATAAAGAAGATAAGGCTTACAAAGTTATCTTCAGTTATCAGGGTTCTGTATTTATAATCATCTTTGTGTGTTATCTTGCCATTTTTCTTTTTGTGTTATGCAACAGCGTCATGTAGATCATTGACTGTAAATTACACTTTTGCCACAAAACTTGTTAAAGGGTCAAAAAGGAAGATACAGTGCAGTGGGTTACAGTGCACTCTGCTTTACCACCCCACCCCACCAAGGTGTTATTTATGGCTCTGGTTTCTTTTCTCTCTTGTTTGTGCAGTATTCAGTTTTACATGCATACAGCCTAGTTGTGGTGGAAGATTCGCAACTAAAGGCCATAAGCTTTTGGTTGATTCGTGGTTTATCTGCATGTGGAACACCACAGTTATACTAGATCTATTAACACCTCAGCAGAACTTGTATTAGGCAAGAATCAGAATGATTCCTAACTGCAGTAGGGCTGGGAGTTGATCCCAAAGTGTTGATCCTTTGATTCCATTTGGGAACCAAGAGTCGACTCCAAAGCCTTCGACTCTCAGATTCCACACAGTGACGTTCAAGTTTGACCGCACCCAAATGCGCATGGAGTATGACATATCCTGCTGTCATTGTCTAGACATGCTGTACAAAGTACAACATCAGTTTTGTTAATTAAGAATATTATTGTGTAGACTCAGCTCTTAGAATTGACTCCATCGATCCCTATCACTTGGAATCGGAATCAAAGTCAACTCCAGAATTTCTGGAATCAAACAGCCCTAATCTGCAGCTTCTTTTGCCTGTACAGTATTATTAGTGTCTAGATGTGTTTTGCATTAACATAACAAAGACAATCTTCTCACATTAGGCTTTGTCATTTCTCAGAATTTCAGATATTACATTAAATAAGAGTATGAGCTGTTGGCACACTTGCTGTAAACCTCAATGTAGGCAGTGTTAAAAGTGTCAAAAGCCCTCTACACCCTGTTTATGCACTGAAAAGTCATGCAATGAATTTATCTCATTCAATGTCTACATTAATGCCACAAGAGCAAAATATATCAACACAATTATTGCCAAAAGTGAAAGACAAAACTGCGTTGGTGTAATATATTTTATTCACATGGAATTGATGAACACATTTGCATGATGTCAGTTCTCTGCATCACTTGTTTTTATAGTGTAATTGAATTATGTAGGTTATTTTTGTTTTCTGTTTAAACACTGAAGGAACAGGACAGATTAGTTCTCTTTATCTGACCTCAACCCCAAACACAGTATTGTTTTCTAGTTATTTAGCTTATCCCGTGGTATTTATTCAAACTAAAATTTACCAAAAAATGTTGTTTAACTGTAAAACTATGACTCACTATATACAAAGAATTTAGAAATGTTTTAGTTGCAATGTAGAGGAGCATTATGTGTTAGCAATTCAGCAATGTAGAATTTCACCACATGCACTGATACATAAAACTCTTCATCTAGGCATAATATAGAAACACTTTAAAGCAACTTCTCTCTAATGTGATGCAGGTGCCTCAGGTCACTGTGTTTGTTAATATCTGTCAACTATTGATTAATTTATTATAATCTTCCATGGACATTCATCTGCAGACTTCCTCAACCTTCTTCCTACTGAATAATGACTCTTTACTCCCAAACCTGTTACTGTTCAGGGCAAACCATCTGCAAGACTACTGGAAGCAAGTATTGTAAGATTTGAGAAGCTTTCAGTGATGCTGTGTGTGAATATTGTGCTTTTCGAAATTGCAAAAAGAAAACCTGCTCTCAAGGTTATCAGAGCCCAGTATGTTCAGTAAGCCTCATGTATAACTCATTCTTTTTGTGTTGCCATAGCATTACACAGAAGCTGAACCTTTGCTGCTGATCCAGCATCATTTTCATCCACCTATAATTCTTGCAGTTACACAAGACATCTGGTCACAGATCAGTAAAAAGGGGCAGCTTCCTCAAACGTGTCATTTTTCTAAGGAAATGTCAGGAATCTTTTGACTGGTCAGTTCAGTATCATCGAGCGCAGGTTGAGTTGTCCCTTTGAACCTCTGTCAATGTCCGGTTGAGCCTGTCCAATGTGAAGTGAATGAGCCTACCAAATGGGACTTGTACATATTCTTCAATAAACACATTTTGATTGTATTTGAAGAAATTGTGTCTCTGTATTTGATATTAAGCAAAATTCTGTTTAAGTACAGCATGTAGTTCAGAGATCACCCTTCCTTCATTTAATTTTCAGGTGGAATGATTAGATATAAGATAATCCACTTGCAAAAGAAATGGAAAAAGTGAAAAAATGTCCAAACTGATGTTGGAAAAAAATAAAAGATGGGACTCTTAACAGCCGTGCAAGACCTGGTAGGCCTGTTTTTAAGTGAGAAGAGAAACTCAAGCTCCACTCCTGCTTCAGATCTGAAAAAATCCACAAGTGTTTCTGTCCATCCTTCCACTGTGAGAAGTTCTCAGTGCTATGGGTCTGAAAGAAGGCCTAACTGTCAGGAAGCTGTTACTGAGAAAGAACATCACAACACCTCGTTCCCATCACGACTACTGTGCTGTGAAAAATGAGTTAATGTTTCAACTAAAAAATGAATAACTCTGTTCGTTAAAATGTAATGACCAACAGGACATGACATAAATGAAGGGTGGTCACTGACTGTGACACAGCATTGCACTTCTGTAAACGGAAGTAGAGGACACACTTCTGTTCAATCAGGAGTATTGTAGTGATCATCTAACTGAGTAGAAAAGAAAATATGTCATTCAACTTATTCGGATAAATTCAGCCTCAATAGCCTTGTAAAATCATTCCTTTTTTACTCGGACTCTATTCTTTGCACTCATTAACTTGATTTAAAGTTGATTTAAAAAATAAAAATTCAGCTGTTTTAATTTATAGTACATTATAGTAGCTGCTTTATTTTTTATTTTTTGTAATCAGCATTTCCATTACCCTAAGCCTGTTAACATAAAGAGTCGATAGTTCAGCAATGAAAAAGTATGTTCTTAGCAGATCACAAAAGTGAAAGAGTTGGTCCAGTCTTGGAGTCAAAATTCACAAACAGCAATTCTCATGACAATCATATTACATTTTTATGATACCTTATAAAACAATAGCTGCCGTATCAGACTTTTCTTACAGACTTACCGCAAAAGGCTATATTTGAGTGACGTGGAGGGTTGCAGTCCACTGGACACGGTCCAGAGGTGTTTATATTTAAAATACTGTAATAGCTGGCAAACTATGACTTACAGTTGTATGTAAAAGTTTGAACACCCCTGGTCAAATTACGTTTTATTGATGTTTTGTTTCTAAGCAAAAATGATACATCTTCTACAGGGAGCAAACATGGATATGGCATTTTACTGCAAATTTTACAGCACAATTTCTGTTTATTTGATAAGTTTAACATAAAACAAACATAAATAAACGTTTTTTTTGCACTAGCCACATTTTGTTTTATTTTTTTCTTCAATATGTTAAATTCAAGTAAACAGTAATTGTGCGTTAAACCATGCAGAAGTGCGTTCTCTGTAAATGTGTTATTTTCATTTAGAAAATCAACGAAATATCATTTGACCAAGGGTGTCCAAACTTTTACATACAACTCCATTTGACAGTTACAGGGTTTAAGAGGCGTTTTACGTTTTTTTGGCCTAATATGCATTTTTTTTTTTATAATTTTCCTTCTGAATTCGTCAGCTAGCAGAAAAAACATTCCAAACACATAGGCAGCACCAGTGACCACCTCCAGCACCTCTTATATGGTTTCCCAAAAGCCACCTCAAAGCACCTGTAGTTTTTCAAAAGTTCCTCCCACCTTCAAGATATGTCATCAGAAGTGTTTTCCAAGTCTGTCTCAAGTGCCCCTTCAAGTCAAATAATGAAGCCATTGGCAGTTTCCCCACTCTTTTCTCTATTTTCTCTCTCCTAAAAAATGACTGTACATCACAGCTGTTGATCTCATTTGTCAGGAATTACAACCATACACACCAAACACACCATGAATTAACAAGTAGATTTATAATTTAACAATCGATTGCCTATTACTATTACTAGGTTTACACCACTTTAGACTGCTGCCCCAAGGTTCAGTCAAACTCTTAAAAGCCTCACATCCATAATAAGCTGTATACATATTTATTTTTGGAAGGAGGTTAACCGTAATGGTTTGTTGAGATAGCTGATACTTCTTTATTGACTGGGATATCCCCAGTGCTGTATGTGTAAATATAATAATCATTTTACAGTTTGTTATATTTCCTGTCTTTTAACCTGATCAAAACCTAGACAGCAAATGACTTTCAGTTTAGAAATCACAACGCCTGGTTCCCATCACCATCACCATAAAAAATGAATTGATGTTTTAACTTAAAAACGTTACAAATCTGGCTTAAATTTTGAGTTTATTGAATTTCTAATACAAAGTTAACAGAACAAATATCTGTTTTACATACTGTTAATGTATTACTTTAGGTTCATTTAAAGTCAACTGTTACTAGCTTTTTAATTTAAAACACTGAATCATTATTTTACAGTGTGTAAAGAAATTCCAAGTAAATTTCTCTACAATGCATCATATCACATCAAACTACTGATTTGTTTACATCCCAATGATTGAATTAAGTAGAAGTTAAAACATTTAAAAAAAATAAATTAATAGGTGTGCACATTTCAGAAAGGTGTGAAAATGTGAAAGCTATCCTTTTATTATTGTGCATAAAATTAACATTTTATGGTTTGTAAGGGCTATGTATAAGCAAATGTATGTTTCAATTTTGGGCCCCAGAAGTTATGTATCATGATTAACAGAGTAATTAAGTCAAAATCATATAAGCAGTTAAAGTCATGTAAGCATGTTGAGCTGTTAAAATGGGCCATAAACTGGATGTGAAACTTAATCTAATTGTATATTTATAATTTTACCATTTGTCTTTCATTATAAGCTAATCTTTCTGATCAAATTGTTAATAAACTTTGATAGACACCAGGAGTTGACGGCTTTAAACCTACTTCCTCAGGTCACTGACTAAGGTCACCTGCATGTACTTGTATATCTATGAAGTTGAAAGGAACTCAAAGCCTACATCTAGGCCCTGCTTTGAGTGTTAGAATAAAGCAAGTGGAGCGATCACCACACCACCACAGACCACCACTGTTTTTCCAGAAGTGTTTATAGATGCTTCATATCCCATGAGCTCACTCTGATACTAAAGTATTGTCTTAATTCATTACTATCAAATATACAAAAACATTGCAGGGCCAATATCTCAGACTCACAGTGTCTGGGATGACTTTGAATGAGATGGCTATTCCATATTTTATTGTTCAGAAGAATAAAAGAGCAAAGATCAACTAATATTATATGTTGCAATAAGTGAATGATAAGACTTTGTCATCTAGAGACGCTTTCATTTGGGCGTCTCGATGAGGATGATTTATGCAAGCTTACTGTAAAATGGAACAATAATGTGCACCATAAATCTTTCTTCTGAATTCATCGGTTATCAGTGTATTTCCCGCTTCCCGATTAGACCTCAAACATTACTTATCACCTGTACTTTGTTACCCATTAATATTAGCGAAGTATAAATGAGCCTGAACATGTTCGAGGTACCTCAGAGGACTGTCTGGGAATGAGACAGGTAAAAAATTAATAATAACTATTTCCTAATGTTAGTCTTATTTAAAGAAAGCAAATGTTACCAGTCCACTTTTTGTTTGTAAAGCTTTTTACTTGCGAGTTATATATGATTGTCATTGTCGATCGTGTTTGGAACTGGACAATGTACTTAATTTGTTGTCAAAATGGCTAAACAGCATCTTCGGTTCAACGTATTGTAATGTACAATAGCCCTGTTTGTCTTCAATATGATATATTTAACATGCAGCAAATAAGTTTTTAATATTTAAACCTTACTTTCTCCTTTGCTATGTTATGCAATACATTGTATTTTTTATCATGTATACTGAATGTTCCATTTATGTGTCTAGGTGGATTTCTAAAATAATCTGTACAGATTCAACAGCACAATGTCAAAACTAACTCTTACAGCAGGTATATACAAAATTTATGACTTCCTTATTTTGGCAGAGCTTTCCTGCCTTACCATATATTACTGTCATAACTGTTCTGTTTCTTTTCATTAACTCGTGTCCGTTGGCTTTCTCTCAGGACTAGGACTTCTCCTTTGTCTTCAGATAGGTAATTACTTCTATGTATTTCTGAATGTCTGGTATTAGCGCTTCGGTAAAAACTGAACACATTTAATTTGTGCAGTAATGCATGAATAATGACTCCCTGGCAATTTTGTTCATAGCATATGCCTGACATGATATGAACAGTTGCTGAATAACTGTATAATTGCTTCTTTCATAGTTGCCTCAACCAAGCTGGTGTGCTACTTTACCAACTGGTCCCAGTACAGGCCCGGCAATGGACGCTTCACACCAGAGAATGTCGACCCCTTCCTCTGCACGCACATCATCTATGCACTGGCCACCATTGGCACAGACCAGCAGATTACAGCCATCGAATGGAACGATGAGACCATGTACAAGAGCCTGAACAGTCTGAAGAATGTGTGAGTGAGACTGAATACTGGCCTATAGTTTTTTTTTAATTCATGTTTTAGTACTAATAAATGACATGCAATTAACTCTGTGGTCATATAGAAAATTACATATAGAGTTTCACGATTTATGCAATAATCCATGCAACAAAACAGATTGTATGAATGTATGTTGCATACACTGCATCAGTGTTGTGAAACTGATAGTACCAACATTTACTCCGAAATAAACTGGACTGATGTCATTATCTCTCCTTTCCAGGAACCCTGACCTGAAGACACTGCTGTCAGTTGGGGGCTGGGTCAATGGCGTGAGCCCGTAGGTACCACTGTGTGAAAATGCAACCAACCAGCGAGGTTATAGTGTTAATCATGCATGCAGTAAATGGTTCTTTGTGGGTCTTAAGAATACACATTCATTTTTATGTGGAGGTTCTTTCAACTTTAAGAAGTTTCTACACATTTACAAAAATGTTTTTGTTAAAGAACCATCAACAGATCAGGCATGTTGCTGAGCTGTTAAATGGGGCCAATAACAGAACATGCAGATTAAGTTATAATTTTATAATGGTTTC